AGATTTGCGTTGGGATTTTTGGGGTTTTTGGGATCCAGAGCCATTTTTGGGGTCAGATTTGGGGTTTTTGGGGTCAGATTCGGGATTTTTGGGGTCAGAATTGGGATTTTTGGAGTTTTTGCTTTCAGGGTTGGGATGTTCGGGTCGGGTTTAGGGTTATTGGGATTTTTAGGGGTTTTTGGTATCAGAATTGGGATTTTTGGGGTTTTTGGAACCTGGCTTTGTTTTTGGGGTCAGATTTGGGATTTTTGGGTCTCTCCCCAGCCCGAGCTGTGGCAGAAGTGCCTGGGCTGAGCTGTGGGGTCGGGGCTGGGATTTTTGAGGCATTTTTGGGATTTTTGGGCGTTTTTGGGTTCCGAATGGGGTTTTTTGGGGTTTTTGGGGTCAGGACTCGTTTTTGGGGTCAGATTTGGGATTTTTGGGGTCGGGGCTGGGATTTTTGGGGTCAGATTTGGGATGTTTGGGGTCAGATTTGGGATGTTTGGGGTCAGATTTGGGATTTTTGGGGTCAGGTTTGGGATTTTTGGGGTCGGATTTAGGATTTTTAGGGCTTTTTGCTTTCAGGGTTGGGATTTTTGGCTTTGCGTTGGGATTTTTGGGGTTTTTGGGATCCAGAGCCATTTTTGGGGTCAGATTTGGGGTTTTTGGGTCTCTCCCCAGCCCGAGCTGTGGCAGAAGTGCCCGGGCTGAGCTGTGGGGTCGGGGCTGGGATTTTTGAGGCAGTTTTGGGATTTTTGGGGTTTTTGGGTTCCGAATCGGGCTTTTTGGGATCCAGAGCCATTTTTGGGGTCAGGTTTGGGATTTTTGGGGTCAGATTTGGGATGTTTGGGGTCAGATTTGGGATGTTTGGGGTCAGATTTGGGATGTTTGGGGTCAGATTTGGGATGTTTGGGGTCAGATTCGGGATTTTTGGGGTCAGATTTGGGGTTTTTGGGGTCAGGTTTGGGATTTTTGGGGTCAGGACTCGTTTTTGGGGTCAGATTTGGGATTTTTGGGGTCAGACATTTGTGGGGTATTTGGGTCATTTATGGGGTTTTGGGGTCACTTGTGGGGTTTTTGGGGTTTTGGGGTTTTGGGGACGTCCTGGAGGAGTCGGAGAACCTCAGCAACCCCGAGCAGGTGGGGTTTGGGGTCATTTATGGGGTTTTTGGGGTTTTGGGGTCAGTTTTGGGGTGATTTATGGGGTTTTGGGGTCACTTTTGTGGTTTTGGGGTTGGTTTTGTGGTCACTTGTGGGGTTTTGGGGTCATTCCTGGGGATTTGGGGTTGGTTATGGGGTTTTGGGGTCAGTTTTGGGGTTTTGGTGTTGGCTTTGGGGTCATTTATGGGGTTTTGGGGTCACTTTTGAGGTCACTTGGGGAGTTTTGGGTCACTTGTGGGGTTCTGGGCTCAGTTTTGGGGTTTTGAGGGTGGTTTTGGGGTCACTTCTGGGGTGATTTCTGGGGTTTTGGGGTCACTTGTGGGGTTTTGGGGTCACTTTTGGCGTCATTTCTGGGGTTCTGGGGTTGCTTTTGGGGTTTTTGGGTCACTTGTGGGGTTTTTGGGGTTTTTGGGGTTTTGGGGACGTCCTGGAGGAGTCGGAGAACCTCAGCAACCCCGAGCAGGTGGGGTTTGGGGTCACTTGTGGGGTTTTGGGGGGGTTTTGGGGGTTTTGGGGACGTCCTGGAGGAGTCGGAGAACCTCAGCAACCCTGAGCAGGTACGGATTTATGGGGTTTTTGGGGTTTTTTGGGGTCGTTTTTGGGATTTTTGGGTCATTTGTGGTGTTTTGGGGTTGGTTATGGGGTCATTTGTGAGGATTTATGGGGTCAGTTTTGTGGTTTTTGGGGTTTTGGGGTTTTGGGGTTTTGGGGACGTCCTAGAGGCGTCGGAGAACCTCAGCAACCCCGAGCAGGTGGGATTTGGGGTCAGTTTTGGGGTTTTGGGGTCATTTGTGGGGTTTTGGGGTCATTTGTGGGGTTTTGGGGTCATTTGTGGGGTTTTGGGGTTTTGGGGTTTTGGGGACGTCCTGGAGGAGTCGGAGAACCTCAGCAACCCCGAGCAGGTGGGGTTTGGGGTCATTTGTGGGGTTTTTGGGGTTTTGGGGTCATTTGTGGGGTTTTGGGGTCACTTCTGGGTTTTTGGGGTCTTTTCTGGCATTTTGGGGTCACTTGTGGGGTTTTTGGGTCATTTATGGGGTTTTGGGGTTGGTTTTGGGGTTGTTTGTGAGGTTTTGGCTCTCTCTTGTGGGGTTTTGGGGTCACTTGTGGGGTTTTTGAGGTCACTTTTAGGGTTTTGGGGTCATTTACGGGGTTTTGGGGTTGGTTTTGGGGTCACTTTTGGGGTTTGGGGTCATTTATGGGGTTTTGGGGTCACTTATGGGGTCATTTGTGGAGTCACTTTTGGGATTTTTGGGTCATTTGTGGGGTTTTTGGGGTTTTGGGGTCAGTTTTGGGGTTTTTGAGTCATTTATGGGGTTTTGGGGTCACTTGTGGGGTTTTGGGGTCACTTTTGGGATAATTTTTGCATAATTTTTTGTTTATTTTGGGTAATTTTGGATAATTTTGGATAATTCTGTGATAATTTTGGTTAATTTTGGGTGATTTTGGGTCATTTTCAGCCATTTTGTGTTCAGGGCTGCGTCCTGACCCTGGTGCAGCTGAGGGGTCACTTTGGGGTCACTTTTGGGGTCATTTTTGGGTAATTTTGGGGGTCACTGGGTTAATTTTGTCTGATTTTGGGTGATTTTGGGTCATTTTCAGCCATTTTGTGTTCAGGGCTGCGTCCTGACCCTGGTGCAGCTGAGGGGTCACTTTGGGGTCACTTTTGGGGTCATTTATAGGATTTTTGGATAATTTTTGGTTAATTTTGGATTCTTTTAAGATCATTTTGGATAATTTTGGGTTAATTTTGTCTGATTTTGGGTCATTTTCAGCCATTTTGTGTTCAGGGCTGCATCCTGACCCTTTTGGAGCTGAGGGGTCACTTTGGGGTCACTTTTGGGGCCATTTTTGGATAATTTTGGATTCTTTTAGGATAATTCTGGATAATTTAGGATCATTTGGGATTATTTTAGGATAATTTTGGCTAATTTTGGTTAATTTTGGGTCATTTTCAGCCGTTCCGTGTGCGGGGCTGCGTCCTGACCCTGGTGGAGCTGAGGGGTCACTTTGGGGTCACTTTTGGGGCGATTTTTGGATAATTTTGGATAATTTTTAGATAGTTTTGGATTTTTTTAGGATAATTTTGGGTGATTTTGTCTCATTTTGGGTGATTTTGGGTCGTTTTCAGCCGTTCCGTGTGCGGGGCTGCGTCCTGACCCTGGTGGAGCTGAGGGGTCACTTTGGGGTCACTTTTGAGATAATTTTTGGATAATTTTGGATGATTTTGAGATAATTTTGGATTCTTTTAGGAGAATTTGGGATGATTTAGGATAATTTTGTTTAATTTTGGTTAATTTTGGGTCATTTTCAAATGTGGGGCAGAGCTTGACCCCATAAATTGACAAAGCCACAAAAACCTCAAAAAACCAAGAAAAAACCCCCCAAAATTCTCAAAAAATACAAATTTTTGACAATTTTTAGCCAATTTTGGCGCTTTTTTTGCCAATTTTGGCGTTTTTTTCCCCAAATTTGGGGTTTCTGTGGGTCTAGGAGGATGTCGGGCAGAGCTCAACCCCATAAATTCAAAAAGCCAAAAAAACCTATATAAAAACATCAAAAATCGTAAAAAATCCTTTAAAAATTTGAATTTTAGCCATTTTCTGCCCAAATTTTGGCAATTTTTGGCCAATTTTGGTCTTTTTCACCCCAAATTTGTTGTTTCTGTGGGGTTGCGGAGATGTGGGGCAGAGCTCGACCCCTTAAATTCAAAAAACCCAAAAATCCCCCAAAAATTATTAAAAAAAACCCCAAAATTTCAGACAATGTCAGGTTTTGACAATTTTTAGCCGATTTTGGTGCTTTTTTTTGCCAATTTTGGGGTTTTTTTCCCCGCCAATTTTGTGCATTTTTTTGCCAATTTTGGGGTTTTTTGCCCCAAATTTGGGGTTTCTGTGGGTCTAGGAGGATGTCGGGCAGAGCTCGACCCCATGAATGAAAAAACTCAAAAAAAAACCCCAAAAAACCCAAGAAAAAAGCCAAAAAATCTCAAAAAATGCGATTTTTGGACAATTTTTGGCCAATTTTCGTCATTTTTTGGGGTTTTTTTTGGATTTTAAGGCCTCACCTGTCAGACAGGTGTGCCCAGGTGAGCTCAGGTGAGTCCCCAGAACACCTGGAGCACCTGGCGGACCCAGATCCTCACTGGGGCTCACCTGGATGGGATTTTTTGGGGTTTTTAAGGGATTTTAAGTGGTTTCAATGAGCTCAGGTGTGCCCAGGTGAGCCCAGGTGAGCCCAGGTGTGCCCAGGTGCGTTTGCAGAGTACGTGGAGCACCTGGGGCTCACCTGGATGGGATTTTGGGGGTTTTTATGGGATTTTAATGAGCTCAGGTGAGTCTCTGGACCATGTCTATCATTTGAGACTCACCTGGGGCTCACCTGGATGGGATTTTTGGGGGTTTTAAGATGTTTTAAGGGGTTTTAATGAGCTCAGGTGTGCCCAGGTGTGCCCAGGTGAGCTCCCCAGGTAACCCAGGTGTGTTTGCAGAGTACCTGGAGCACCTGAAGGGCTCAGATCCTCACCTGGGGCTCACCTGGATGGGGTTTTTTTGGGATTTAAGAGCTTTTCGTGAGCTCAGGTCCGTTTCCAGAGTATGTGGAGCACCTGATCCTCACCTGGGGCTCACCTGGATGGGGTTTTTTGGGGGTTTTTTGGGTTTTAAGGCCTCACCTGTCAGACAGGTGTGCCCAGGTGAGCCCAGGTGAGTAACCCAGGTGCGTTTGCAGAGTACCTGGAGCACCTGGGGCTCACCTGGATGGGATTTTTTGGGGATTTAAGAGCTTTTCATGAGCTCAGGTGTCCCCAGGTGAGTAACCCAGGTGCGTTTGCAGAGTACCTGGAGCACCTGGGGCTCACCTGGATGGGATTTTTTGGGGATTTAAGAGCTTTTCATGAGCTCAGGTGTCCCCAGGTGAGTAACCCAGGTGCGTTTGCAGAGTACCTGGAGTGCATTATCTGGAACTGGGGCTCACCTGGGCCTCACCTGGATGGGATTTTGGGGTTTTTATGGGGTTTTGAAAGGTTTTAAGTGGTTTTAATGATCTCAGGTGAGCTCAGGTGAGTCCAGGTGCGTTTCCAGAGTACCTGGAGCACCTGAAGGACCCAGATCCTCACCTGGCGCTCACCTGGATGGGTTTTAATGGGGTTTTAAGGCCTCACCTGTCAGACAGGTGAGCTCAGGTGAGCTCAGGTGTGCCCAGGTGTGCCCAGGTGTGCCCAGGTGAGCTCCCCAGGTAACCCAGGTGTGCTCCCCAGAGTACGTGGAGCACCTGGGGCTCACCTGGATGGGATTTTTTGGGGAATTTAAGAGCTTTTCATGAGCTCAGGTGTGCCCAGGTGAGTAACCCAGGTGTATTCCCCAGAGTACGTGGAGCACCTGACACTCACCTGGATGGGTTTCAATGGGGTTTTAAGGCCTCACCTGTCAGACAGGTGAGCTCAGGTGAGCCCAGGTGAGCCCAGGTGTGCCCAGGTGGGTAACCCAGGTGCGTTTGCAGAGTACGTGGAGCACCTGAAGGGCTCAGACCCTCACCTGGGGCTCACCTGGATGGGATTTTTGGGGTTTTTATGGGGTTTTAATGAGCTCAGGTGTGCCCAGGTGAGCTCAGGTGAGTAACCCAGGTAACCCAGGTGCGTTTGCAGAGTACCTGGAGCACCTGGGGCTCACCTGGATGGGTTTTAATTGGGGTTTTAAGGCCTCACCTGTCAGACAGGTGAGCTCAGGTGAGCCCAGGTGTGCCCAGGTGAGCCCAGGTGTGCCCAGGTGAGTGACCCAGGTGTGTTTGCAGAGTGCCTGGAGCACCTGGGGCTCACCTGGATGGGATTTTGGGGGTTTTTATGGGGTTTTAATGAGCCCAGGTGAGTAACCCAGGTGTGCTCCCCAGAGTACGTGGAGCACCTGAAGGACGAGGGCCGGGTGTGCGCCATCATCGCGCGGCTGCAGCGTTACCTGCAGGGCAAGGGCAGCCCCGAGGAGCTGTGCCGCGTCTACCTGCGCCGCGTCCTGCACACCTACTACAAGTTCGACTACGGCGCCGCCCGCAAACGGGGCGGGGCCGGCCAGGTGAGCCCCGCCCAGGTGAGCCACGCCCAGGTGGGATCAAACCAGGTGGGATCAAACCAGGTGAGCTCAAACCAGGTGAGCTCTCAGGTGAGCTCTCAGGTGAGCTCAAACCAGGTGAGCTCAAACCAGGTGATCTCTGCCCAGGTGAGCTCAAACCAGGTGGGATCAAGCCAGGTGAGCCCCGCCCAGGTGAGCCCCGCCCAGGTGAGCCCCGCCCAGGTGAGCGACGACGGCCAAGAGAAAGAAGACGGGCAAGAGAAGGACGGACAGAAGGACGGACAGAGTGACGGACAGGTGAAGGATGACGGACAGGTGAAGGATGACGGACAGGTGAAGGATGACGGACAGGTGAAGAGTGACGGGCAGGTGAAGGAGGAAGAGGAGGAGGAGGAAGATTCGGAGGCGCTGATGGAGAGGCTGTGCAGGTGAGGGGGCGGGGACACACCTGGGGGGTTTTGGGTTGAAATTTGGGGATTTTGGGGTTGAAATTTGGGGATTTGGGGGTTGAAGTTTGGGGATTTTGGAGTTCAGATTTTGGGGGATTGGGGTTAAAATCTTGGAATTTTGGGGTTGAAGTCTTGGGGGTTTTTGGCTTGAAATTTTGAGATTTTTGGGGTTCAAATATTGGAACTTTGGGGTTGAAATTTCAGGATTTTGGGGATAAAATTTTGAGGATTTTGGGGTTTAAATGTCAGGAACTTAAGGCTGAAGTCGTGGGATTTTGGGGTTCAAATCTGGGGATTTTGGGGTTGAAATTTGGGGATTTTGGGGTCGTGGCCGGGGGGCGGGGACACACCTGGACACACCTGGGGGGTTTCGGGTTGAAATTCTGGGATTTTGGGGTTGAAATTTGGGGATTTGGGGGTTGAAGTTTGGGGATTTTGGAGTTCAGATTTTGGGGGTTTGGGGTTAAAATCTTGGAATTTTGGGGTTGAAATCTTGGGGGTTTTTGGCTTGAAATTTTGAGATTTTTGGGGTTCAAATATTGGAACTTTGGGGTTGAAATTTCAGGATTTTGGGGATAAAATTTTGAGGATTTTGGGGTTTAAATGTCAGGAACTTAAGGCTGAAGTCGTGGGATTTTGGGGTTCAAATCTGGGGATTTTGGGGTTGAAATTTGGGGATTTTGGGGTTGAAATCTTGGGATTTGGGGTTTGAAGTTTCAGGATTTTGGGGTTGAAATTTCAGAATTTTGGGGTTGGAACTTCGGGGTTTTGGGGTAGAAGTTTCAGGATTTTGGGATTGCAATCTGGGGATTTTGGAGTTGAAATCCGGGGATTTTGGGGTTGAAACTTTGGGATTTTGGGGTTGAAATCTCAGGATTTTGGGGATAAAATTTTCGGATTTTGGGGATAAAATTTCAGGATTTTGGGTTTGGAACTTCGGGATTTTGGGATTGAAATCTGGGGATTTTAGGGTTGAAATTTTGGGGATTTTGTGGTTGAAATTTGGGGATTTTGGGGTTGAAATTTGGGGATTTTGGGGTTGAAATCTTGGGGGGTTTTGGGTTGAAATTTCAGGATTTTGGGGATTAAATTTTAGGATTTTGGGGTTCAAATCTGGGGATTTTGGGGTTGAAATCTCAGGATTTAGGGGTTGAAATTTTGGGGATTTTGGGGTTCAAATCTTGGAATTTTGGGGTTCAGTTATTGGAACTTTGGGGTTGAAATTTTGGGGATTTTGGGGTTGAAATTTCAAGATTTTGGGGATAAAATTCTGGGATTTTGGGGTTGAAATTTCGGGATTTTGGGGTTGAAGCTTCAGGATTTTGGGATTGAAATCTTGGGGGGTTTTGGGGTTGAAATTTCAGGATTTTGGGGTTCAAATATTGGAACTTTGGGGTTGAAATTTTGGGATTTTGGGGTTGAAATTTGGGGATTTTGGGGATAAAATTTGGGGATTTTGGGGTTGAAATTTTGGGATTTTGGGGTTGAAATTTTGGGATTTTGGGGTAGAAACTTCAGAAATTTGGGGTTCAAGTCTGGGGATATTAGGGTTGGAATCTTGGGATTTTAGGTTTAAAATTTCAGGATTTTGGGGTTCAAATTTCAGAATTTTGGGGTTGAAATTTTGGGATTTTGGGGTCGGAATTTCGGGGTTTTGGGGTTGAAATTTTAGGATTTTGGGGTTCAAATTTCAGAATTTTGGGGTTGAAATTTTGGGATTTTGGGGTCGGAATTTCGGGGTTTTGGGGTTGAAATTTTAGGATTTTGGGGTTGAAATCTTGGGATTTTGGGGTTGAAATTTCGGGATTTTGGGGTTGAAATCTGGGGACTTTTGGCTTGAAATTTTGGGGGTCAAATCTTGGAATTTTGGGGTTCACATCTTGGGATTTTGGGGTTGAAATTTTAGAATTTTGGGGTTGAAATTTTGGGATTTCGGGGTCGAAATTTTAGGATTTTGGGGTTCAAATACCAGGACTTTGGGGTTGAAATTTTGGGGATTTTGGGATTGAAATCTCGGGATTCTGGGGTTGAAATTTCAGGACTTTGGGGTTGAAATCCAGGGATTTTTTGCTCGAATTCTCGGGATTTTGGGGTCAAATTGTGGGGATTTCGGGTCCCTCACCTGCCCAGGTGCCCCTCACCTGCCCAGGTGCGCTGACCGCTGTCCCCGCGCAGGTTCGTGTACGCCAAGGACCGCACGGACCGGATCCGCACCTGCGCCATCCTGTGCCACATCTACCACCACGCCCTGCACAGCCGCTGGTACCGCGCCCGCGACCTCATGCTCATGTCGCACCTGCAGGACAACATCCAGCACGCCGACCCACCTGTGCAGGTGAGACACACACCTGGGCAGGTAAATCACACACCTGAGGGGTTAAACACACACCTGAGGGGTTAAACACACACCTGAAGGGGTTAAAGATGTACCTGAAGGGGTTAAACACGCACCTGAAGGGGTTAAACACACACCTGGGCAGGTAAAGATACACCTGAGGGGTTAAACATGTACCTGAAGGGGTTAAACATGCACCTGAAGGGGTTAAAGATGTACCTGAAGGGGTTAAACATGCACCTGAAGGGGTTAAAGATGTACCTGAAGGGGTTAAACATGCACCTGAAGGGGTTAAAGATGTACCTGAAGGGGTTAAACATGCACCTGAAGGGGTTAAAGATGTACCTGAAGGGGTTAAACATGCACCTGAAGGGGTTAAAGATGTACCTGAAGGGGTTAAACATGCACCTGAAGGGGTTAAAGATGTACCTGAAGGGGTTAAACATGCACCTGAAGGGGTTAAAGATGTACCTGAAGGGGTTAAACATGCACCTGAAGGGGTTAAAGATGTACCTGAAGGGGTTAAACATGCACCTGAAGGGGTTAAAGATGTACCTGAAGGGGTTAAACACACACCTGGGCAGGTGAGACACACACCTGAGTGGGTTAAACACACCTGGGAATGTGAGTGGAAAAACTCGAATTTATTCAAATTTCGTGATAAATTCTTGGGGTTTTTTGCCATTTTTTTGGGGTTTTTTTTGTCTCACCTGTCCCTCACCTGTCTCACCTGTCCCCAGGTAAAACCTTGAGGGCATTTTTAGTGAAAAAACCCAAACTTATTCAAATCTTGGAGTAAAATTTTGGGGTTTTTTGGGATTGTTTTCGTCTCAGCTGTCCCCAGGTAAAACTTTAATTGGATTTCCAATGAAAAAATCCAAATTTATTCAAATGTTGTGATAAAATTTTGGGGTTTTTTGCCCTTTTTTGGGGGTTTTTTTGGTCTCACCTGTTCTCAGGTAAAACTTTTAGTGGATTTGGACCAAAATAACCCAAATTTATTCAAATTTTGGGATGAAAATTTGGGGTTTTTTTAGGTTTTTTTTCATCTCACCTGTGCTCACCTGTCTCACCTGTCCCCAGGTAAAACTATATGAAGGAATGGAGTGAAATAACTCAAATTTATTCAAATTTTGGGATGAAAATTTGGGGTTTTTTTAGGTTTTTTTTCATCTCACCTGTGCTCACCTGTCTCACCTGTCCCCAGGTAAAGCTTTACAGGCATTTACAGTGGAAAAACCCCAAATTTATTCAAATTTTGGGGTTTTTTGCCATTTTTTGGGATTTTTTTTGTTCTCACCTGTCCCCGGGTAAAACTATATGAAGGAATGGAGCGAAATAACTCAAGTTTATTCAAATTTTGGGATAAAAATTTGAGGTTTTTTGGGTTTTTTTTCATCTC